TATTGTCAAACAAAACTATCTACTTAACCATATATTTACCTACAAAAAAAAGAAAAGATAAAATCCTTACTTAACTCCTGACAGAGAAACAGAAAAGTGATGCTTGAACAAAAAGTACTATTTTTTAATCTCCTTCAATTAGTACTCCCTGTAACATGCGAGCTACGAGGGCTGGAAACCCTTTCCAGTGAGAACCACAGAGTCAAATAACTTTGGAGCACGGGAATTCGTCTCCATTTATTCAAAGAACTCTCCTCTCTTCTCTCCATACAGGGGAGGAAAACCAAAACAAAAAACTATCAGGGTCAACATGGCTACCACAAGAGTACCGCCCTTTTTTCAAAGTCAAAGCACACAATATAAAACTCTCTCGCAGGCGGCTTTAAAACCTGGTGCAGAGTTTCCAAGACTGGTTTCACCTGACCAAATCTGTTCCTTTTATTGCCTGGAAGTGATCCATCAGGTGGGTTTCTGAATTTTATGCATTTTTGCAGAAATATAGTAGTAGTATCCTTTATTTAACCAGGGAAAAGACTCATTGAGATTTAAAACCTCTTTTCCAAGAGTGACCTGGCCAAGACAGCAGCAAAAAATAAAATAAACACACAAAAACAATAACAACAAATCCAGATTTCAAAACACAAAACTAATAGACATCACAACTAAACTTGAGGGCATCTACAGGTGCTAAGTGATCTGGTGTCTCTGTCCTTTAAATTCTGTGAGTTATTCCAAGTGTCAGGAGTGGAAAATCTAAAGGCCTTTTTACCAAGTTCAGTTCTAACTTTTGGCACCTGCATCATAATGAGGTCCTGAGAGCACAGATCATAATGGCTGCAGGTTCTAGACAGAAATGAGCATAAATATAATGGAAGATGCCCAAGAATGCATTTATAAATAAAAATCAGCCAGCGAGAGAGTCTGCGAACAGTCAAAGATGGACATTTTGCTGTAGCATACAAAGTGCAGTGATGTGTTCGATATCTACAGTTTTTCATGAAGCGCAGTGCACAGTGATAAACAGCATCCAATTTTTTTAAATGCTGGGCTGAAGAGTTCATGAAAAGCAAATCTTTGTAATCCATCAGGGGAAAAGTAGTTGAGGTAACCAGGTGTCTTCTGACTTGGTGTGAGAAACTATTTTTGTTTCTAAAAAGAAACCCAAATTTAAGTTTTAGCTTAGAAACCAATTTATCAATATGAGTTTTGAATGATAAGAAATATCGCCCACCAGGGGTTTCTGGCTAAATCCAGGCGGGAGAACGGGTGCTGGACGCATGACCACGGTTCCACCTCACTGGATCTCTTCCTTCCTCTCTTCCACTCCCTTTGCGCCCGGATCCGATGCTCAGAGCTGGCGCTAGAGGCTCCGGAGTAAATTGAGTACTACATCGCCCGCTAAAGTGCCTTTTTCGGCTGGTCGTTGGTTAATAGCTCCACGGGGGAACGCCTCAGGAACTTGCAACCACCTCCAGTTTGTAGAGGAGGGTCGTAATTTCCACAGTCATCTCGCTTTCCCGGATCCGATGGTGAGAGCCCGCAGGAGAAACAAACAAAATTTGAAATTTCCTCCCGAAAATGCGCGTAAAATGCACTAAGTCGTGTGTAATTTGCTTATAGCTCTGCGGGGGAACGTCTCAGAGACTCCTTTCAAATATCAGCTTGTAGGACAGAACTAGAGCTTTAAAACCTGACCAGTCACTCCGGGATCCTATGCTCCTAGCCCAGGGAGGGGGGCTAAAACCACCCCCGGCGGAGGTTCGACGGTGCGTAATGTTGGAGGTTTTTCGCTTATATCTCCACAGGGGGACGTCACAGGGACTCCAATCAACTTTCTACTTGTAGGGCAGAGCCAGGGCTTTAAAACCCAAATAGCCACGCCGGGATCTGACGCTCCTAGCCCACGAGGGGGGCTAAAACCACACCGGTGGGAGGTCAGATGGTACTAATTTTGGAGGTTTTTGCTTATAGCTCCGCGGGGGAACGTCGCAGGGACTTCATTCAACTTTCACCTTGTAGAGCAGAAACAGAGCTTTCAAATAAGATCAACCACTCTGGGATCTGTCGCTCAGAGCCAGCGCTAGAGGCTCCGCAGCAAGGTTGTGCTTCATGGGCACCTGGGAGCCAGCTGGCAGGCGACCAGTCGCCCGCGAGCGACTGTTTGGGCACCCCTGTTTTAAAGCCTGTCTCTCTCCAATTAGAAATAGAAATAGCCTTTATTGTCCGGCAGCGGGTAAATTCAGGTGTCACAGCAGCATCAGTACAAAGGTTCAAACACTAGTTACTTTACAAACTATAGATAGTACACACAAAGCAAAATTGGCACTTACTAGCCATGATACAACTACTAATAATAAAAATCAAAATATAATATAAAGAATTGTGCAAGGATGGAAAAACGATGTTTTATTTCATAATCCAACATTCGGAATCAGAATTTTCCTGTTTTGAGTACAAAAACAATCCCAACAGACCAATAACTGTAAAGCGAAGTATCACAATACAGACAAAAAAACACAGATGTGCAATTACAGCAGAGATAGTAAATGATTGCCAATGATTGTTCGGTTGAGTAATAACAATGAATAGTAACAGTCTAAAATTTAGACTGCAAACGATGTTACAGCAGCAGGTGTGTAAACACTTGTGGTTATTGTAAACACTTATTGAGATATTTGTAAACACTTATTGTGATTTTTGGGCGTGGTGCTGGTTATAGAGTCTGACATCTGCTGGGGGGAGTGATCTGCAATAACGCTCTTTTGTGCACATCGGATGCAGCAGTCTGTCACCGAAGGAGCTCTCCAGTTCGGCCACAGCTTCATGCATGGGGTGGGAGACGTTCATCAATGATGTTATTTTAGTCAGAGTTCTTCTGTCTCCCACCACCTGCACTGTGTCGAGGGGGCATCCCAGCTCAGAGCTGGACTTCCTGATGAGCTTATCTAACTGCTTCATCTCAGCTGCAGTTAAGCTGCCACTCCAGCTAACCACCTCATAGAAGATGGCTGATGCCACTACAGAGTCAAAAAAGGTCTTCAAGTGCACCCCTGCACTCTAAAAGACTTCAGCCTCCTCAACAGGTAGAGTCTACTCTGACCCTTCCTGTAAAGAGGGTCAGTTTTGTGAGTCCAGTCCAGTTTATTGTTCAGATGAACACCCAGGTACTTATAAGAGTCCACTACCTCAATGTTCACTTCCTGGATGTTCACCGGTGTCAGTGTGGTGGGACTGCGCCTGCGGAAATCCACCACCAGCTCCTTGGTTTTGGCAGCATTGATCAGGAGGTGGTTCCGCTGGCACCAGTCCACAAAGTCCTGAGTCCACTGTCTGTACTCTGAGTCATGCTCCGTCTCCCTCGTCGGCACCTCTCCCTCGTCGTTTCTTCCTCAGCTCGCGGGGAATATCGGGTCGATCAGCAGTGGGATGCACCACAGAGCTACCTAGTGCTAGCAACTGGTCTCAGGAGTAAACATCGGATGCATGCTCCCTCACGCCTTCTCCGGACGAAAAAGACGTAAAAAATGAAAATATGAACAAAATTGTCCATAGAGAAGTTAGCTCCATAGTTGATGCAAAGATTAGAAAAACATAAAAACACACAGCACTCCTAATAACTAAAAAAATCACAGATTACTAGTAGAGCTGCTGGACTGGATTCCTGCTCTCATGGCACCGGAAGTAGATTAGAGTATTTATAAAAAAAATAGTCAAATTCTCTCTCATTTTGCTTTCAATCTTCAACTAACAGTTAGTCATCCACCAGTAATATCATCCATCCATCCATTTTCTTCTTCTTATCCGGGGTCGGGTCACAGCAGCAGCCTAAGCAGAGAAACTCAAACTTCCCTCTCCCCAGTCACTTGGTCCAGCTACTCTGGGGGAATCCCAAGGTGTTCCCAGGTCAGCTGAGAAACATAGTCCCTCCAGCGTGTCCTGGGTCTTCCTCTGGGTCTTCTCCCAGTGGGACGTGCCCGGAACACCTCACCAGGCAGGCGTCCAGGAGGCATCCTAACCAGATGAACCACCTCAACTGGCTCCTCTCGACATGGAGGAGGAAATTGATGACAGAGCTTCTCACCCTATCTCTAAGGATACCCTGCAGAGAAAACTCATTGTGGCTGCTTGTATCTGCAGTTTCATATTTTCAATCACTACCCAAAGCTTGTAATCATAGATGAGAGCAGGAAAGTACATTGACCAGTAAACCAAAGAGTTCGCCTTTCAGCTCAGGTCTCTCTTCACCACAACAGATCCATACAGCGCCCTCATCAATTAAGACACAGCACCAGTCTATCTATCAACCTCCTTCTCCATTCTTCCCTCATTCGTGAACAAGACCCCGAGATACTTTAACTCCTCTATTTTGGGCAGGACCTCTTCCCTGACCCGGAGAAGGCATTCTTTTCTGGCTCAAAACCATGGTCTCATAGGTTCATTAAGACTGATCAATTGCTGGATTGAATAAATATGTTTTTAATGGGAAATATAATTTAATTTCTGAGTCTAGACAGGCAGGCGTGAATTTTTTTATTTTATCATTAACATTTCTACACTTCTTCGAGTATAACTTTCTTTTAAAAATAAACAGCAGCTTTTGAAGTCTTGTATGTGTTGGCTCATCTACTTAAACACATATAAACTCACACCCATATGCAAAGCCCTGACTATAATTCTCACACATTGTCAGCTCTGACATTTCCCTGTTTTGTTTGTCCTGCCTAATTAGCCAACCCTTCGCCTTGCCTGGTGTGGTGTTGGCCAATCAGTGGAGCCCGCTCAGTACCCAGAGTTTATTTCAGGGTCTGTCAAATGAAGAGTGAATGTGACAGTTCAATCTAACCTCAGCAATAAGCTTTGCATGGCCGCCCCCTCACTGCTGCTTGAGGATTCAACTTGGCTATCATCGAGGGGCGCACTGAAATGAACTCTGAAGCTAATTAAGATGCCATCTTATTCAGTTTGTCTTTTATCTGCCTTTTATTCTCTTCCTCTTGTAGTTCTGGATGTCTGCCCTGGCCACCACCATCCCAGTACCATGTGGAGCCTTCATGCCTGTCTTTGTCATTGGTAATTAACACCTTCACTATGTACATTTAAAGTCTTCCAAGTAAAAAGAGTCTTGAAAACAAACTCAGATCAAACCATCTTGGGGAAAAAATGATTTGAATATAAATTATACTTTAAAACAATTTGTAATGTAAAAATGTGTAGGGCTTTGACAGTAAACCCATCCATCCATTTTCTATATTCTCTTGATCTTGCAAGGTCAAGGGGAACTGGTGCCTCCCTCCAGCAGATACTCAGTGAGAAGAAGGGTACACCCTGGACAGCTTGCCAGTCCAACACAGTCACATACATAAGAGCTTCACAAATACCCATTCACATCAACAGTAAACTCTAATAGTGATATTAGCTATAAATACAGTGAAACAGAGCTAAAACAGTCAAATTTATTTTTGACAACAGTACCTCGATCACATCTACTGTAATAGTGGTCCCAAATTTAGTGGATGGAATCATAGTACAAAGCATTGACTACCTATCTGCATGCAGCATGTAAATAGCACAGACTCACTTAAATGCACCACTGTGTCAGGTTCAGATAGATTAATTTATTTATTTATTTATTTATTTATTTATTCATTCATAGTTGTTTTGAGCAGATCTACACCTGAGACATTCTTGTTTTGTATCCCTTCAAGAGAAATAAGTTTTTTTAAAGCAGTAATTGTCCTTTTTTTTACCACAAGATAGTAGTCCGAAACCAAACTTAAGCACCAACTCAGTGTATTCATAAAAGTAAATGTGCCTATTGCACATAATATTAATTATTTTCTGATCTACTGCTCTTTGCACAGTAAAAGAATCTGGCAAGCCAGTGTTAGTGAATTAAGGCACTGTTACACTAAAATGTTTTAGACCAGTGGTTCCCAAACTTTTCAGCTTTTGACCCACAATATACCAGCAGCTGTGATCCCAGCTGTTGTTGATTGAAAATCATTGTTTTCACGTCAAATAAACAAAAGCATAGTAACAATATTTATTATGTTCTTTTTGTCCATTTTAAGTACACTAACTTTACTTTTTTGTTACAACAAAAGCAAAAAAAGTTTTGTTAGTTGTAATGTTTTTTGTGTTAGCAATTCAGAAAATCATTTCAGAAGCCCACCTTGATGTTTAGGGACCCCACTGTGGGTCCCGACCCAAACTTTGGGAACCACTTGTTACCAAAGTTGTTAGACTTATGTTAAAATAAGTCTTTCTACATACCTCTCATAACAAGGTTATGAGGAAAGTTTTACCAAGGTATTTTCTCATTACTTCAATATCTGGACTGTGCAAAGTGAAAAATGACGCAATAAGTGAACGTTCAGATGAGTTCAAGTTGATTCATAAAAGACTATGCAATCATTTATTTACACAAATTGAACAGATCATAAGTTACACCTGATTGTGGTGATTCCTATAACAAGCTTCAAAGTTAAATGAGATAAAACTCGCGTCTGACTTTTAATTCACATTAAACTCAGATTACTTATATATAGAACAGTAAAGTCAGTCCTGATGTTAGCAACCAAACAATTTACTGGCACCTTTTTAGCTTAAGTTTTGGCAAATAAAGACAAAGGAAAGGATGAAAAATAAGGTTAGTGTTTCTACTACTCTTATTTTCTTAAGTGTGGTCAACCGGATCAGCACGTCCCCTCTGCGCTGAGATCTCCACATGACACGTCACCCGGAACACGCTCAGCGTTACCTGGTGATGGCTTCTTAACCAAACCCTGGGTAGTCACTGGTTCACCTCCGATCAGTCAGGGAACGTTTTGTTCGGCCCGCTCACTGTTCCTCGGCTAAAAGTGTTATTTTTAGGCAACTTTCGTCTGCTTCGATCTTCGCCAGAAAGATTCAAGCTGATGCATCCGGTTTGTCCTTTCAAAATAAAATTCTCCCCTCGGGAGTTGAAAAACACTTAAAGACTTGAGTCTCAGATGGACAGTCGCTGCGTGCCACTGTCCTGGCCGTTAGATCCCCCTAATTGGCTTATGGGCAAGATCTACGAGCCGAGCTGGTTTCTCCGAAGAGAAAACTCAGCCTTCCTTCCCAGTTCGGCATCCAGGAAGAAGTGTTCCCTCACTCAAAGGCGTCCGTGTTAGTAATAGAAGCGGACGACTTTGGTTCCGCCCTCAGGCATTAAGAATGAGTCAGGAAAAGAAAGAAAGAAAGATAAAGCTTTGCCAGCCAGGCGCCAGGCAAGGTCAAATTCTGTGGTTGTTTTACCAGAATGATAACATTTCTTTTCAACTTTCCTTCTGGTAGACTCTAAGAGAAATCACTGTAAAACATTTATGATGATTAATTAACATTTCTGTTTAAATAATCAGTCTGAACCATTCTGTTAGTCCAGATAAATGAAAGATTTTCTCAAGAAAAACTCACAATCATTTACTGTGTTTCCAGTAAAATAAAATCAGTGATTTATATAAAAACATAATGAAAACATGGTAATGATTTTCTCTGTGATTTTTTTTTATACCATTAATTAATCTTTTAGGCACGATAAAAGAGTAGAAGTGATTCCACTTCCTTTGTGACAGTCATTATATGATTTAACAAATGCATAAACATTCTTAGTTAAACAACAAATGAATCACGAACAGAAGAGATTGTTCTGTCCATTATCTGATTGAGAGAACTGAGAAATTCTCTTCTAGGTTGAAATGACCTGTCATGGCCTAAATAGAGTTCAGTGTGTGACAGAGTTCCTGCCTTCTCGTCAGGCCTGTCCGAGGCCTGCTTCGAGGCAGTAAATCTTGTTTCTTCACTCGAGGTGACCCCTACACACTGTTTTAGACAACTTAAAACATCTTGTCAAATTTTAAAGACATCTACGTTGAAGATGTAATTTAATTAAACTGGAAACCTCTATTAGGCATGTAAATACTATAATGCTAACAAACTGATAAAATAAATAACGTATTAGTAATTTATACGTAAAAAATATAAGTTGGCATTAGTTGTCTAAAACATTATAGTGTGATAGGGCCTTTACAAGCTCACTACAGATGATATAAATAACCCAGAAAATATTAGCCTGCTAACTTCTCAAATGTACAACCACCCAGTGACAAACAGTATTTGTTTATAAAGCATTAAAGTTTTAAGAAATTCCACTCTCAGCTACCGTATACAACTGAATGACAACTTGGAGCAACAAAAAGCCTTTTAACTGCTTTTTCAGATTTAAGAATTTAAACCATAGGAACAGTTTGACAGATAAAGTTTTTGTTTTTTATTCTGACGTTTAACACCGTGGTATGCCGAATACTGCTGATGGTGCAGTAAGAAATGTGTTGTGAAATGTAATCATTGTGCTGAAAAAGTTTTGAAGCCAGCTGCATTTAAAACAAAAAGTAAAGTTAGAATTGTATTTTTTGTTTTATTCTTTTCTCTGTGTGTGTGCGTGCGTGCAGTGGGGGGGGTGCATTGGTGTTTTAATAATACGATTATTTATCTGTGTTAATTAGTTCTAGCCCTTATTACTGATTGTGAAATTTGTTCTTTGTCCATGTGTAATTGTTTATTACAGGGGCAGCCTTTGGTCGTCTTGTTGGAGAAAGCATGGCTGCCTGGTTCCCAGACGGTATTCACTCTGATGGATCCATCTACCCCATAGTGCCTGGAGGCTACGCTGTTGTGGGTTAGTTAGAGGCACTTCCTGTTTACCAATCATCTGATTCTCTGTTTCGTTTTGGGTGGTTTTATATGAAAAATGTGTTCTAATTGCTCTTCAAGATGCATGCTTTGCAATTTGCAGGGACAAAAATTTGAATGCCTTCAAACGTCTTCCAATGTTTACACAGATTTCAATCCCCTCATTAGGTTTCTTTATTAGGTTTCCAATGTTCCTCTGCCTGAATTTATGGTTCACAGTCAATGGACTTTGACTATTAAATATAATCAAACACTCAAGGCAGAAAAGGCTCACATCCTCAAAATCCAATCTTACTGAAGATATAAAAAAATTCTTTGCAATACAGCTAAAACACAGGCTGACAAAATATCAGACATTGATGGCTTGTTGAGAAGCTGTCAGTGCTGACAGGCTGCTTAGAAAACTGGAAGTTAAAAATGCCAGTTGTGTAAAGTGAACTAGAGTTTAGATCGGGCCTAAAAAATTTGACTCAACCCAGCCCGAGCCTAGAGACATCCAACCTGACTAACTCTAATTAGAAGCCTAAGCCTGAAGTAAACCCAACATATTTTAATTGCTGTTTTCATCTGGGTTTAATGCAATCCACATTTTTTGATCTTAAATAAACAAAAACATGTAATCCTCATGTCCCTAATTTCATACAGACTTTGGCCTTTGTCAGCCTTTGCTGGGACACACACCTGTGGGTGTGTTATATCTGCAGCACAAAGACTGCAGAGCAGCAGCGTGAGCTTCATGTCACTGAAAACAGTCCAGTCCAACTGGACAGCAGAAGCTGTTTGTTAAATTACCGTATTTTTCGGACAAGCCGCGACTTTTTTCCTGAACTTTGAACCATGCAGTTTATGGTCCGGTGCGGCTTATACATGGATTTTTTCTTCAGCCACCCGGGGGCTCTTATGCTCCATTTACTTCAACCACTCTTCAAAAAAAGAAGAAAAGAAAAAAGAAAAAGCGATCGCTTCCAGAGCCGACTGTTGACCAGGTAGCAGCATTTAAAGATAGTCAATGGCCAAAAACTCTTAAAAGGGGATAAAACAGACATTTTTCACGGTGGAATCTGACTGATAAAAACTTTGGAGCTTAATACAGGACCAGTTTGTGGATAAACTTTGAGTGAAGAGCTGCTGACTTTTTTTTCGGCATTGCACTCCCCGGGGAAGGAATCCCATGCAGTGATGTATGCTGGAGCGGGAGGGCTTTCCCAGCAGCTGACTGACGGGGATAAATCATTCACAAAAACTGGCCGAATGAGAAGAGCGACATTTCCTGATGTCTGCCAGTGGATTCTAACAGCGTGGAGCAGAGTGAATGAGTCCACCATCACAAATGGGTTCCGAAAGGCTGGACTACTACGTGAAGTGGACACCACAGCTTCGGAGCCAGCCCGGGAGGACAGCGACACAGAAACTGAAAAGGTACCGCTGCGTGACGCAGCTTGTTTAACTCCGACACTGAAGAGGAGGATTTCGATGGTTTCAGTGCGCCGGAGGAAGATGAATGAGACATTTTGTTGGACCAGAAACAGTTAAAGAAAACTACCAAAATAAGGTCAGTTAAATGAACCATATTCCTCCGAACTTTACCGGTAATTTCTAAAGGTTTGCTTTTTATGTTTTAATTCCAGACCTCTCGCCTTTTTTTTTCCAAGAGTTATTATTATTATTATTATTATTGTTGTTGTTATTGTTGTTGTTGTTGTTGTTGTTGTTGTTGTTGTTGTTGTTGTTATTATGTACCGGTGAACTTGCCAACCTTTTTCTTAAAAAATAAATGTGATGTTGAATTCACTTTTTTGACCACAATTTTGGGTGTACTGTTTTGTTTTTGTTTTTACTGATGGGGGTGGGGGGTGCGGGTTATAGTCCGGTGCGGCTTCTAGTCCGAAAAATACGGTAATAAGATGAGCAGCTGTGAAGACCTGCTCATAGACATTGACCTGACATCCACACCTTCTTTCCATTTCCGCCTTGTCGTTAACAAAATAACAAATAAAAAAATGGTATTTTTCTTCAACATTGTTGAAGAAAACATCTGCTTTTGTGTTTACCTGCTGAGCTATGCTACGTATGGACAAAGGGAGAAATTATGATAATTGATCGCAACATAAAATTTCAGTTTTAGGCCTAAACAAGATAATATTTACATTTATTATGTTAGAAAAAAATTGGTCAAAATTTAATCAAAATTTCTCCCCAACTTCATGGGTGATTATTGGGGCTCAGAAATATTTTCCTGTGAAAGACTTGAGGACAATCTGGACATGAATAAGTAATTTAGATTAGTGATCTATAGACCACTTTCAGTTTCAGACACTCTCTTACATTCAGAGAACCCTCACCATTCTCCCCTTAAATGTTTTGCAGAAACATCTGCTCCACTGAGCAGAATGCATGAAGTATTTCCATCAAAGTACTGTCAGGTAGTTCTGTTGGCAGAATTGTTTTAATAAATGGATTCACTCCACGCAAAGCATTTAAATTAAAGATAAAGAAAACATGCAAAGTTTTTATCAGCAGAGCTATGCTACGTATGAGGACAAAGGGAGAAATTATGATAATTGATCGCAACACAATATTTCAGTTTTAGGCCTATACAAGATAATATTTTACAAAATGTTAAAATATTACAAAAGGTAAGAAATAAAAATATAACTAATGATTTATTTGTTTAAACAAATGATGACACATCCAAGTCTTCCTATATTCATTCTAAAGTTTGAGGTCTGATGTTGATTTAGTTGATACTTGTTGACAGTGATGCAGGACAGTGATGCAGGTTATGCTGGTACTGCAGGTTGCCACTGGCTGCTTCTCTGGGCSTCTTGAAGCTGTTGTTTGGTGCACTGTAGCTGATGACTCAGCCCTTTACAGCCCAACACTCTCAGCCTCTTTCATCACTCAGCTGAGCTCGAAGCACTGACAGAATGGACAGAGTGAATAGTAGCATTTATCCGGGAAAGGGGTGTGTGTGTGGGGGGGCGGGTGGCATACACGGCTTAATTAAGTTACCAGGAGGAACAATGAAACCTGCCTGTGCAAACACTCTCATTTACTGTCTATTTCCCCATTTCCCTCATTATATTCTTCTCTTTCTATTGCTCTCTAACACTCATTCTCTGCTGTTTTTTTTTTTTTAGTCCATCTCATTGTTTGAATTAGACATCCATTTTCTCTGTTTCTATAAATTCACCCTGTGCTTCTGTCTTCTTTTATTCTGCTTTTATTGCACTCATTTAACAAGACTTGAGAGGAAATAAAGAAGATATTGAAATACTGAGGTTTTCTTCTCTATTATAAATTAGTTGTGTCGGTTGAGTTCTGCCATACAGGCATATGGAAGAAAACTGAGAAGAAAGTGAAACTGGTTAGCAGAGCTGTTGGTGACTCAAGCTAAAAATAAAATGATTGTAGAGTTGATGTTAAGGTTTTGGATTATTTGCGTTAAATGTAAAATCATTGTCTAGTCTGTTTCAGTGTAGTTCCCAATAGCAAGTCAGCATAAATCAGTTTAAAAGAGCATTTTGAACAGCTGCTGAACCAAGTGCTTAAAATAAAATGGAAAGATTAAACTTAAGCAAAAAGAAGCAAAAATTCAAAAAATTCATATTGAAAACAGTTTAACTCTCATATTAAAAAAGTGTAAGTCATGCATCTGGTACTGTAAAACCAAGGCCGGATTAACCATAAGGGCAACTGGGCAATTGCCCAGGGGCCCACAGTCTCCAAAGGGCCCTGGGCAGTGAAGACACAGACATAAAGGATGCGAGATATGCGTGGGACATGTCTCCCTGAGTCCCCGCACTTCCTGTATCTGCGCTCTATGTCCTCCGCACTTTTCTCAGCCGTTACAGCTGTTTTTTTTTCCATTATTAGCATATGGTATTGCGTTTTCCCAAGCCGTCTTTGAACGCACCATAAGTGTGCACATGCGGGAGACGTCCTGCTGACCCGCCTGCTGAGCAGAGCCTCCCGAGCAGAGCCACCAAAACTTTGCACAGTTTTTACCAAACAAACCATGTAAGTTGAGTCATGCTGTTGGAGGCAGATTATGTTAGCTAAATGACGAGGAGTTACACATTATATAATGTTTAGCTAGTTAATTAGTTGTTGTTACCTGTTACATCCCTTGCCAAGCTAGTTTATTAATGCTAGATAAACCCAGTCATATTTCATTTCTGTGCAGAAGTTGTGCTGGCTTGCTTTGCACAAATTTAAAATAAATCTTCATTGCCACAGTTCAAAGAGCAAGGTCAGGGATGAGGCAGAGCAGATACAGCAGCAGGGATCATAATGCAGACTTTTCTCAGGTAAGGAGAAATTGTAACTATTATTCTTGAAGTGGAACAGTCTTTAAAACTGGTGTATAGTTTGTATAAATTTGTAGAAAACCACTGGCACAGTGAGTTAGTCACATTATGGTTTTTATCACTACTACTTCAATCATGGCTGTGGAACTCACCAAACTTCCTAATATTCTTCACAATAATGTCTCAAACACATAAATATTGACCTGATATCTCAAAGCATCTGAAGCTTGTAAACATAACTTTGAATATTCTTCTTCTTAAGGTGGGAATATACTCGCTCCGACGCCGACGGGTCGACGCGCGGTCACGTGGTTGTTCGGCAGTCGTTTGCGCACAGACCTTTTCATAGTCCCTACGACACCCCCGCGCCGAATTCGGGAAACCCCCCTCCCTGAAACATACATCACTGCATGGAGTTCCTCCGCAACAGCTGATAATGCAGAAAAAAAGTCAGATTTGTCACTCACCTGACGTATTTATCCACACCTGTCCTGGTTAAAAAGCTCCACAGTTTCAGATTCCTCCGTGCCTGTTTATCTGTTATGTCTGTTTATCTTCATTCATGAGTTTTTCACGGTTTGACTATCTTTATAAAATACTGCTTCCTGGTCGGCTCGGGGTGCGAATCGTTTTTTTTTTTTTTCCTTTTTTTTACCGAGTGGTTGAAGTAAATACA